CCTTTTGTTCATCAATGCAAATGATACAACTAGAAAAGGAGGGGGAAATGCTAAATTTATATGATTTTGCGTCCTTCCGCGTAGAGCTTCTCTCTCCCTGCCCTCCCACCCCCAAACTACATTGAATTTTATTGTGGTTTCCACATAGCACAGATGTGCTTCCACTGTCCTTCCAGGTTCTCCCTGGATTCACAGAGGGTTTCCCCAAACTTGCTGTGATATGAATTTTCCTGAAGTACTGTACCCAGAGTGTTTTGTGGGGAAATATGGATTTCCACACCACTTTGCCCACATCTAGTGCCACATCCAGTGCCATTTCCCATCCTTCGTAACATCAAAAGACAGACATGAGACTTCTAACTTTACATCACAAACAGCATGTTCAAAGTAGTCCTAGGTTAGATCATCTTCCTTTTATGCATTTGCACCAGTCCATCTGATATTAAAGTCAAGCCCACTGTAGTTCTTTGTACGGGAGGGTCAAAGTATTTTGCCACTCTCAGTATAAACCATGTATCAACCACCGTGAGTCCAGACTGAGCCCAATCAGTGCTACAGTCACTCACTTTTGGCCTAGGTGGGTGACGTGGGCTCAGAAAGTGACAACTGATGTAGGGTACAACTGTGGCCTCCTTCCCCACCACTAGTGGGGAAAGAGGAGGCCCAATGACACTTCCAGGGCTTCTGGAGCTCATCTTGGACCCCAAAACAGTACCATAGCTCTGGGAGGTGATGACAGGTGGAAGCCACACCCATCACCTCCTCATGTGCTGCTGCCAGCTGGGAAGTAACTGAGCCCAATTGGTATATTGGCTTCCTTACCAGATTGTGTCAGTCCTGGCATCTGCTTGGGTAGCGAACTAGCCCTGGCTCTTTACACAGCTTTGTTATTTAAAAAATGGAGGGGAAAATGTAAAACTGATTGTTGCGCGTCCTCTATCTGACTCCATCATCTTCAAAAAGAGTCCTACTTCTAGGGGCTTCCAAGAGACTGCTCCTTTAAGCACAAAGAAAACTGTAGGACTGGAAATTTCCAGGTGTCCGAAAGTCATTTGGACTTTTCTAAGAGCTATCTATAATACTTATACTATATGCACAGGTATCTAAGTATAAATTGTAGGGTTGCCAGATGGCCCGGTGGAGACGGGGGTCCCTGTCGCCAATCCCACGCATAGCCACCAATCAGTTGGCTGGCAGGGGGGACTTACCAGGAGAAAAGAGAAGGCCTAGGCCTCATCGCTGGCATTGCACAAGAAGTAACATAATCTTGGCCGCGACGCCTAGGGTGCCACTCTGGTATTTGGGCAAAAACTCTATGGTAGAAGCCAGGTTTGATCATAAAGTTTTTGCCCAAATACCAGAGCATCACCCAGATGTCACTGGCATGATGACATCACTTCCTGCCTTTCACTGGTGACAAGGCACGGGCCTTTCTCTTTCTCCTCGTAAGGAGAGACCTGGCAAGCCTGGCGAATTGTTACAGACACATGGTGCTACTGCCCACATTATACGAAGCTATTCTTTGCGGTGGAGGATACCTACTGTGTGAAGGTATGGTTGTAATAGCAGGTGTGAGTCTTTCATGTGGGAGGCAGACTGAGCAGGAAGAGAGTTGGTCAATACATGATGCTGCTGACGGGAATTTTAATGTATTTATTGTTTATTGTATTTTAAGGTTTGTTAGCCGCCTTGAGCCCGTTTGTCCGGCAAGGCGGGATATAAATTGAAACAATAAATAAATACATCACATTCTAGGACAGTTCTTTTTAATTCGAAGTGGCTCTTTGGTTTCACCCCATGACAAGTGGGGAAAAGACAGAGGGTCCTGGATGAGGGCAGACAACTTCAGTGTTTCCTCTCTTGAAGTGAAAATTTAGCAAAACCTGATCACCCCCCAAAAATTCATAATAGCGCTTGTTTTGGCTGGGAGGTGTTCAGGTGAATTTTGTAGAAGAGCTCCTGCCTTCCACGCGGGGCTGCCAGGTCCCCCCCTGGCCACCAGCAGGGGGAGATGGGGTTGCCAGATCCAGGCTGAGGAAACTCCTGGAGATTTGGGGGGTGGATCCTGGGGAGGACAGGGACTTCTGTGGGGTACAGTGCCATACAGTCCACCCTCCAAAGCATCCGTTTTCTCCAGGGGAATTGATCTTTGTAGTCTGGAGATGAGCTGTATTTTCTATTTCCAGGAGATCCCCAGGTTGCACCTGGAAGCTGGCATCCCTACTTAAGAATTCTCCAATCTAAACATTAATTTATACTATTTACTGCCTTGAAGTTAGTCAGCTTGGTAGCCATCTTTCCATATTTATTATATGATAAGTTTTTAAAAAGCTTGAGAACAGCTGAGGAAAACAAACCACTTTTCATCACTCTCTCCTTACTTTGCTACTTAGATCCAGAGATATAGAATCATAGTTGGAAGGGACCTCCAGGGTCATCTAGTCCAACCCCCTGCACAATGCAGGAAATTCACAAATACTCCACACTCTCAGTGACCACTCTTCCACACCCAGGAGATGACAAAAAAACCTCCAGGATTGCTTCCTGACTCAAAAGTGGCAATCAGCATTTCCCTGGGCATGTAAAAAAGTGCCACAAGAACTAAGCACTGAGGCAATCCGTCCTGTCCTCCTTCTCATGATCTGCCTAAGTTCACAGAATCCACATTGCTGTCAGATGGCCATCTAGTTTCTGTTTGAAAACCTCCAAAGTAGGAGAGCCCACCCCATCCCAAGGAAGCCTGTTCCACTGAGGAACTGCTCTGTCAGGAAGTTCTTCCTAATGTTTAGCCCAAAACTCTTCTGATTTAATTTCAACCCGTTGGTTCTGGTCTGACCTTCTGGGGCAACAGAAAACAACTCCACACCATCCTCTAGAGGATAGCCCTTCAAGTAGTTGAAGATGGTTATCATATCACCTCTCAATTGTCACCTCTCCAGGCTAAACATACCCAGCTTCCTTCAACCTTTCCTCATAGGACTTGGTCTCCAGACCCTTCACTATCTTTGTTGCCCTCCTCCGGACACATTCCAGCTTGTCTATATCCTTCTTAAATTGTGGTGCCCAAAACTGAACACAATACTCTAGATGAGGTCTAACCAGAGCAAAGTGGTACCATTACATCTCGTGATCTGATACAGCCCAAAATCGCATTTGCCTTTTTAGCTACCGCATCACACTGCTGACTCATGTTCAGAGTATGGTCTACTAAGACCCCTAGATCCTTTTCACACATACTACTGCCAAGACAAGTCTCCCCCAACATATAATTATGCATATGCAGAACTTTACATTTATCCCCACTGAAATTGTCAGCTATGCTGCCATGGGGGTTGGGGTGAGCAGTTGCATTCTAATTGCCTTTGCATTCTTTCTGTGCTTCTTCGCTGCTGTAACGCTTATCCATAAGTTGTGCAGGTGGTGAGATGTTGATGTCTACTTCCAGAGGGACCGTGGGAGCGAGCTTGGTTCCCAGCTTCAGCAATAACGGCCTGAGCGCCATCTCCCGTGCGCGGGAGTGAGGCTAATTGGCCAGGGCAGTGTGTGTGTGTGCATAAGAATACCCTATATCCTATTATGCCCCAGGGGCAGCTGCCATTCTTAACAGTGCCTATGTTAATGCATCTATAGCTCTTCAATAAAGTATTACCTTTCCTGATAAGCGTGTACTACATTGTTGGCTGTGGGTTCTGACAGAAATTCATTAAATTTCTTTTAGCCCAGTTGTCCAGCTTGTCATCCTGTATCCTGACTCTGTCATCTACCGTATTTGCTACCCCTCCCAATTTAGTATCATCTGCAAATTTAATAAGCATTATCCCTTCATCCAAATAATTGATAAAGATGTTGAACAAAACAGGTCCCAGGGCAGATCCTTGAGGCACTCCACTTGTCACTCCTCTCCAAGAAGATGAGGACCCGTTCACAAGCACTCTTCGGGGGTTACAGATCCACCTAACCATCATAGGACCCAAGCCACATTTTTCCACAGCTTACTTGACAAGTGATTTGGTGAGCTGGCCTCTTTGGATTGTGTTCTAACATGACCTCTGATTGTTTGGAAAGTATGACTTTGCAATTCACAGATATGCCAGGGCCTGCTATCCAAGTGACACTCATCCCAGGAAGACTCATCAGAAGGATCCTTGCAGGTGCACCTGCGGCTTCATGCGGTACTTGTGTCAGTGTTTTTCCAGTCCTACCTGTTCCCTCTCGCACAGGATGCTACAGTTTTAATGAAAGGTATTGACGACAATGGAGACTCAGGCTCATTATGTACTGAAACGTGACACCATTTAGGTAGCTTACATTATTTTCTGTTGTGTGGAGGGGGTGGGCAGGTAGACTTCCTGTGTCATGTGCCAGATTACAGAGATCAGGAGCATGGGACGCAGCTCATTCTAGCATTTTCAGGAGGAAAAAAAAATCCAAGGACCTCCACATGCCACAGAAAGTATCTGATCCAGGATGCTTCCTTCATGCTTCTTAGAGAGGGAGGAACAAGAAGATGCACTGGGCAGAAATGGCTTTCCGTGCAGTGGTCAAGATGCACCAAAGGGGCTTATTGCCTGAAGAGCAATGACAAATGAACAAAGAATGGCAAATGGCAAAGTTGTGTCTATGTGAATGTGTGAAGAGCATAAATTCTGTGCTTTTCTTCCACCCTGGCCCCATTCACCAAGTTTCCCCTGTGATTAACATCCTAGTCGCCATAAGAAAAGGATTCTTTTGATATCAGGGTCCTTTTGTTTAAGTGGGTGCCCCTACATTTCCAGGCTGTGTCCATATTCCCAAAAGGCCAGCTCAGCCTCCATATGGCCCTGAGGGCTTATCCTCACCCTCACAGTCATATCCTTCTTATCTTTGTTGGCAGTGGCTGGGTCTAGACTCCACCCCTCCTTCTGCAGTACCAATCAGCTCCTTGATGGCTTTGGACACAATCCAGGCCTCATTACCAAGGATGAAGTGCAGAGAAGATAAGACATTAAGAATGTGCTGAGCTGGAGGCAGTTCCTAAAAGGACAAATAAGCCTTCCACCTACTGGTTGCTTCCAGAGCCAGCCAGACATAAGGAAGGAGTAATACGGTTTGAGGAATACATCTGCAACAATGGAAAGAGGTACCAAACAAGGGCGGAAGATACCCAGATTTTTCCTTATCAGAGGATGCTTATTCCAGCCCTGCCATTGTCTCAAAGCATGGCTGGCTGAAAAGCAAGGAGTGGGAGAGAAAGGATTTTTTTCTAAGGGGATTCTTTTCAATCATTTTTAATTTTAGGTTGGAAGAGAATAGGGTCAGTGGCTATGGGCATGTTGTATAGTGGAGGACTAAAACAAAAAGCAGCAGTGGATCATTTACTGGTGTTCTTTTATGGCATCCCTGTTCAAGCATCATTTCACTTCAAGGACTTGGATATCAGTATATCTCAGCTTCAGTTAACCATTTGTAAATGGTGGTAATAAGGAACTTTCTGATAGGTTAGTTGTGAGAATGAATGTTGGTTTGTACCCTGAGCCTTGGAGTGATGTTGACCATATATCTAAAAATTAATTATTATATTACTTCATTTGTTGCTGGCTAGAGTTAATTGAGAATTAATTGAGGGAGCTGCGGTGGTTCAAGTCGTTAAGACGCTGAACTGCAGGCTGTGGAAGGTCGGTAGTTCAGCAGTTCGAGACCCAAGGGTGCCGCATGACGGAGTGAGCTCCCGTCTCTAGTTCCAGCTCCTGCCAACCTAGCACTTCGAAAGCAAGAAACTGCAAGTAGATAAATAGGTACCACTTCGGTGGGAAGGGAACAGCGTTCCATGCGCCTTGGTGTTTAGTCATGCCGGCCACATGACCACGGAAACGTCTTCAGACAGCGCTGGCTCTTCGGCTTTGAAACGGAGATGAGCACTGCAACCCTAGAGTCGGATTTGACTGGCTTTCGAGCAAGGGAACCTTTACCTTTACCTTTAGCGTTAATTGATGATGGTGGTATGGAATATCAAAGCCATTGGGGTGGAGGTGTTTCTGCATACGGCAAGAGTCTATATTAACATGAGAAGTTGTGGTTTTTAAGATGCTGTGCTCAACGAATGTGCTTTATGAACGTACTCTGGCTAAACAAGGCTTCTGGCAAGTCCATTTGTAACAGGGGCTTGAGGAAAGGTTCTCATACTGTGCAGAAAGGTGAGCAATTGAAAGAACGGTTAACAATGGTTATAATTAAAAGGCTCACAATGACAAGATAAAAAAGAAATAAAAATTGGCCTGCCTATCTATCCCTAAACCTTTGCCTGTGCGCCTGTTCCAGAGGTTAGTGGTTTGGCAACCTGCGGGGAGCTGAGGAGGAGGAGGCTTGTGCCTGGAAAGCATCTGTTTTGACTGAGAGGCACAGTGGCTGGACCCCTCGTTCTGACTCCAGGCCTAAGGACAAAGCCCCTGCCTTATCAGAAGTTCATCTGGTGCTCACTGGATTCCCCACTGTGAGCAGAACTGGCAGTTTCCCAGGTTTTCAATAATTACCAGATTCTACCAGGCTTTTTTGTACTTGGCTATTGTAATAAGCAACCCCTAGCTGTAGATGTAAAATTTAACGGCTACTCATTACAATATCCCAAGTACAAAAATGCATGCTTATTCCATCAGATACAGCAGAGCAGAAAGTGAAGGAGGAGGGCAAGAAATATGTGAAGATTTTGTAACATGCAATGAAAGAAGAGAGGAAGGAAGAAGGAAGGGAGACCAGAACCATTGATTGATAGAGAAGGTAAAATGGACGTACATTCATAAAATTGTACATGTTAGGTTTCCAAGCCAACCTTTTGTTTCATAGGTATTCATAGCTCCTGCTTATTTGAGGCACCCTTGCAACAATTCCAAACTCCGCAACTCCAACCATAGATCCACATTCTGGATTTCTGTCAACCAGCTGATTTTCACTGACCTACAGCGAGCTGCATTTTATGGCAATCTAGAGTCATGTCCATTTTATATTGTATTTTATGACAGGTTGATGTTAAGCACAGGTCCATACAGGACACTGATGCCTTATTCCTATTTACAGTTTCAGCTCTTAAGTGTTCAATAGAGGTATAGCGGCATTGCATAGTAGTTAGCAATTTATTTACACATGTAAGAGTTTTCAGTAATATATGTCCCCAAATCAACTAAAATCTAGACAGACAGACAGATATTAAGTGTTCAGTATACAAATTACATATGTTTCACTTTCCCCCAGTTTTATTTTTAAGGTGTATAACCCAGAGTTTAATCTATTGTTTTCTACAATCACAGTTTGAGTATATAATTAAAACTGGATTAAATATAATCAGCATCAATGTGGCATGTATTTGTGGACTGGACTTAAAACTGGAAGTTTTAATGCTTCACTGGGAGAAATTTGTTTTAACTCTGCATTTAACTGTAAACACAGTCCTACTAAGTACTTTATCAGCCCTGACTGTGAGTTTCCCATTGCAACCAATGCTCTGATGTCTGTTCCTTCAGAATCTAAAGGCCACAGCCTCCGTACTCTTGAAATTAAGCCTATTGGAGCCAAGACAATTAGCCAGGAAGCTGACATGAATGATGCTTGGATTCACCTGTCAAAAGAGTGGCTGGCAGGCTGTATAATCTTAAGACGCTGCCTTTTCTGTTGTGAAACAGTTTGGGTACCCCAGGCGAAATACACTAGTTGGAGTGTGCCTCAGGAAAGGGCTGCCTGTCTAATTGAGTCTGCTCCTCCCAGTTCCTGGCATTGCAAGCAGTCTTGGTAATGGTTTTGTATTAGAGGCTGTTTGACTTGGCCTTTGATCCCAAGTTCATTCACTAGAAATAAATCTAGGAATCTGCTTTTAAGTAAATGTCCTTCGGACTGAGGTGAAAACAAGCAGAAGATCACAAATGCTGTGAGCCTGGGGAAAATTTAGGAGGATGGGTGGGGCAATTCTGGGTCAAATCATTACACCTCTGTAATCTGCTATGCTGTTTACCTTTGGATACCTGGGCGTAAAGTGACCTAACAACATCAAAACATTTAGAGGCATCTCTTACAAGAAACAATTACCAAGCGCTGCCATCAAGAATGTGTCTATTCTTTTTTCTTCTTTGCTGCTCAAGAACACTGGCTTACCTGTGAAAAAACAATTAGTCTTCTGACACCTGACATACTAACAGGTTTATTGAACCGTGAGTTTTGGGTGGGCTTGGGCCACTGAAGGGCAAGAAACTAACAGCATAATTCTATGCATAATTCTATGCAGTTACTCCAGTGTAAACCAAATTATTTCAATAGGCTTACATTGGCTCAAGTGGTTAAGACGCTGAACGGCAGGCTGTGGAAGGTCGGTAGTTCAGCAGTTCGAGACCCGAGTGTGCCACATGACGAAGTGAGCTCCCGTCTCTAGTTCCAGCTCCTGCCAACCTAGCACTTCAAAAGCAAGAAATTGCAAGTAGATAAATAGGGACTACTTCAGTGGGAAGGTAACAGCGTTCCGTGTGCCTTGGTGTTTAGTCATGACAGCCACATGACCACGGAAACGTCTTCGGACAGCGCTGGCTCTTTGGCTTTGAAACGGAGATGAGCACCGCAACCCTAGAGTCGGATTCGACTGGCTTTCGAGCAAGGGAACCTTTACCTTTACATTGGAGTAGCTCTGCAAAGGATTATGCTGTCACATGCTTGGCCTGCTTAGGCTTAGGCCTGCAACAAGAATTCAGACCACCAAACCTTAGCACAACAACTCTGGTCTTTGGGTTGGTTGAGATATACTCATTAGGCACCCCTAACCAGACTGTTCCATGATGTACACTGATGGTTGACTAAGATTAGTTTGACTAGTTCAAAGGCAGATACAGTTGCAGTACAGCCTGGCAACCAGCAGGAGGTCTGTGGGCAAGGGTACCGGGAAACTGTGCCATCAGCTGTAGTATTATCTCACTTCCAGTAAACAAAATGGAAGTGACCTAGGTAGCTCTAGGAATTGCCAGAAACTCTATGGGAAATCCATATATTTTTTTAAAAATTCCCACTGACTTGTATGGTTCTTTGAAGAGGCAGCATATATATTTTCTAAATAAGTAAGACACAGAGTGGAGATGTTCATTGCTCACAGCCTCCTGATAGGTGTCCAAGGGCATTATGTTCCTGAAAGTGTGGCAAGGACCCTGTCATTTCCTGTTCTTTTCAGGCAGGATGCTGACACCTGTTTCTTTATGTTAGAGTTGTTCACATGGTACACTTTTTGTGTACACAAATACACAGAGGTTTCTGAAGTCAGCCAAAGGCTGGCCCTGAGGTTGTTGTGACCTCCTGGTTGGGAAATTCTTGGAGATCTGAGGGTAGAGCCTGAGGATGACGTGGTTTATGGAAAGGAGGGACTGTGCTGCAGACATAATGCCCTAGCGTCCACCCTCCAAGCAGCCCTTTCCCCCAGAGGACTGATTTCTGTCATCTGGAGATCAGTTGTAATTTCAGGAGAACTTCAGGCCCCGCCTGGAGGCTGGCAACCCCAGCTGGGCCCGCACTCAGGGGCCGGGAAGTGGGGAAATGAGTCATGAATCCCCAGGCCCCAACCACAAGGGCTGAGGGGGCAGAAGGCCAAGCTACTCATCAGCCACAATGGGTACATCAGCCGGCTGGGACACTTAAAGAATACACACGGGTTCCTGCGTTGGGAAATATTATCCATGACTGATCCTTGTTCCTAGCAAAACAGCTCTGATGAAGATTTGCTACAAATGAGAAGTTTACCTGGGATTCTCATCAGTTTTCATCTAAGAGTTTGTTTACTGGCAGTATAGTTCAAAGAGCTTATCGGCAAATAGTTGAGTTCCCTGGCAAGTTGAATTCATTATTATAGTTATAATGGACGAGGACTTTGGAAATCTTGTAAATGGCCTCACACTGTAAATTGTAAATTTCAGATCCAGTGCCTCTTCATGGACATCTGTAATGTTATTTCCTTGTAAATTCTGAAAATAATATAACAAATATTGTTCATGCACATTTGAGAATCCGGTTAATAGAACCCACATTGTAAGACTTCAAGAATACACAAGATAACATTTTAATATAATTAGCAGTGGTTTATGTTCTTTGTATAAATAGTACAACAGAACATACACAGTAATGTCCTCTTTATGTTCTCACCATCTGGAGGTTGGCAACTCTATCTGAAAGTGCTTATTTTGTTTATCTTACTTGCTATGGATAACTCAAAATTTTTTTGTCTTTTTAGTTTTTTACTTGTTTGCTGAAAATAAGCTCCCTTTCCAAGGTCATTTTAATTTTGTAAACTGCCATGGCAAAATCTGTCATTACCATATACACCCACAATTTAATACGAAGAACACACAAAATAACAGGGCATAATATCTGAGAGCCGGTTAGGTGCTTGCAGTTGCCAACATAAATAAGCTCCATCTTTTGACTTTGGAAGATCAGAAGCACTTGGCATATTTTAGAAGTCTATCCATCTACTTAAGGTTATTTATAATTAAAATTTTCCTCTGGGATATATTTGTGGCCCTTGTTGTGGATGCCTGTGTTTGTGGTTCAAAAAAAAAATGGGACAAAGTAGACACAGTGGCATGACAGGTGTTGCCAACTCCAGCTTGGGAAATTCCAGGAGTTTGGGGAGTTGAGCTTGGGGAAAGTGGGGTTTGGGAAAGGGGGGGAACGCAGCAAAGTGTGATGCCAGAGAGAGTCCACCCTCCAAGCAGAAATATTATCTAGGGAAACTGACCTCTGTACTTTGGAGATCGGTTGTAATTCTGGGAGGCCTCCAGACCCAACCTGGAAGATGGCAACTCTAGAAAACTTTTGTATCACAATGCAGGTAACACAAAATCCCTCTGAAGATAAGGTTGGGGGAGATCCAGTCTATTGTCCCTCATCCAACCCATTACCATCTCCATTAAGAACACCCACAGACCCACCTGTGGAAACTCACTTCAAATCGCTTAATGACCTCCCCCTGTTGTTTCATGTAGATATTAAATAGCATGGAGGCCAAGATGGAATGCTGTTGGATCCCATAGCATAAAGGGCACAGGCCATGCAGCAGTCTCCCAGTATCACCTTCTGGGTTTGGCCAGTCATGCAGGACTGGAACCACCAAAGCATGGAAATGCCCCCCCCCCCAACTCAGCCAGCCTCTCCAGGAGGGTACCATGGTCAATGGCATCAAATGCCACAGGGAGATCCAGGAGAATCAACAAAGGGATGCTCTCACCTTGTAACTCTTCCAGTGAAAAGCATTGGTCAGGGTGACCAGCGCCATTTCCATCCCGAACTCAGGCTTGGATCCATATTGAAACAGGTCTAAATAACCCATCTCCTGTCTGAAGCTGCATAGCCACCACCAGCTCAAGCACCTTACCCAAAAATGGAACACTGGCCACCGGGGAGTCGTTGTTTGAGTCAGTGGGATCCAGGGATGCCTTCATTAGGATGGGTGTAATGACTGTCTCCTTCAAGGCAGCCGAACTACGTCTTCCTGCAGACGGGCATTTTTAGCTCCTGGACCCACTTGGCCACCCCACCCCAGCCTGGCTTGATACTGATAGCCACGGAGAGCAAAAGGTAGATGAAAAGCTAAATGTGGTAGGCCATACTCTTCTGAGCCGCTCGTCCACAGAAAGATCATAAACTGTTTGATCATAAACTGTAAATTCTTATATAATACAAGCTCTGTGAGGACCTTTGATCAGCCATGTTTTGAGAGTTCTGTGCTTCCCAGGTGCCTGCAGACCTGATTTAGAATGGGACCATGGCATTCGGGGAGAGGGGGCTTAAGCCATCGCCACTGCACAATTTCCCCAAAGGGCAGGGAGCTGCCTTTTGTCCCTCGGGGGACCCATGTTTCTCCCAGTGGGGCAAAGAGTAGCTCCCTGAGATCGTCTCAAGTAGGGAAAATGAGTGTAGGGTGAAAGACATAAGCCCCCTGTCTGTACTATGTAGTCTCAATTCAATTGAGTCTTCAGTTCAATTGAGTCTTAGGAATTAAATTCCATGCACAGAATCCCCTATGCATATTTGAATGAAATCCTTGTGGTGGCCACAGAGAAACGCAAGGATTTTTAAAATGTGTGATTGGCCCCTTTGAGTATTTCAAGGTGGCCATAAGGTGTAATGGCAAGACTGCTGTACTTGAACAGTTAATGACCTTCGTTCACGTCTCCATTCAGATCCAGTCCTAGAATGTTTAGTCTTAGGAAGGCTGCTACCTCATGTGCTTTGACATGTTCCATCGACTATTTCTGCTGAATGTGTAGAGGGCAGCTTAAAGGGTATAACAGTGTCATCCTAAGCCCCTTGACAACTTGAGTGGACTTAGACAGATGTAACTCTGTTTAGGATGGCAAACCACTTTTGTGTTCTTGGTTGATGTTCCAAATTGTGTTAGGTTCCATGCCCTGGCGGCCTTTCTTTTATACAGAATTTAGAATTATTTTATGCAGATGGACATAGCAGTAAAGCAGGATAAAGAGACACCTGAGTCACTGCTGTGGGATATCTTCCCTTCTGCCATAGGAGGAAGCAATCATTTATAGGTGCAAGCCCAAACCAGCAGGCATTTCTATTGATTTACTGTTTTCTTGTTTCCTTCTAGCTGGAGAAATTGTGCAAAGTGTTACCTCAGGGCACTTTGTCTTAAGAAAACAGCAGTTCCAGGAAGTTCCCCATCCAAATGAAGACAACCAGAATTTTGCCTGTTCAGGACAGTCCAGTATTAGACAACACAAAATCCAGGAATGTCCCTTCCATCATGACCCTAATTCATCCAGCACTGGTCCTGCAGGACAGCAGAATCAAAGACATCAATCCAAAGGACAGGAAATTCCCCTCCATGTTGGAGACAGGCAGAACACTGGTTCTTCAGGACAGAATCCTGCTTCTACAGGACAGCAGGACAGGAAACAGCAACACAAATTTCAGAAAGTTCCCCACACATCTGGCCAACAGGAGGACACTCCTTCATCTAGGTAAGTACCAAGACTGAGCAAGTTAGGAAGGCTCTTACCACTAGCTAACTAGCTAACATGGTTATTAGCTTGGTATTTTGCTCAGTTCAGAGTATGCAATATGCAGCATTAATATTATTATATTACAATTAATATTTCAAATGACAATATGTCAGAGCATGAAGAAGGACTGTTTACCTTTGCTCTTTGGCAACAGAATACAGTATGTGAATAAAATAAGTCATACATGCTGCTGAGTCCTCTGCATATTTACTTGGTTCTCTCACTAGATTCACGGGGATTCTCTTAAGAGTGCTTAGGATTTCAGTCTTCTTGGGAGCAGGGAAGTAGGAAGAAGGTATACAGTTATGTATAGTCAATTGGAGTGTTTGATTCAGATCTAGGTTAGCATAGACCTAGCCACCCTTTCTCCCTGAAAGTACTTTTGCTAATATAATATAATCTGTACTTTTGCTAATACAATTGGCAACAAGTCGACAGGTGCAACTTTCCCCCATCCATCCATACATCTTCTTCCTTGGCAATTTCTGTTTGTTATGGAGATGTTAAAGGAAGACAGCATCTGTCAGGAAAAGGTTAGTCGTTGTGCTGCTCATCTGTGCAGTCACTGAAGTCGTCACTCTCCTCTGCTTTCCTCACCTATTTATCAAATGGAGAAAAGCAGTGACTAATTTCTTAGGGCCACTGAACAGACAAGTAGTGGAATCATTATGGAAGTGCTTTGGTTTTTTAACCTTCAAACAACCTAAAAACATTTACACATTTTCGCACTGGGGTTATATATCTACCCCAAGACAAAATCCCATTGTATTGTGGTAGAAAAAGCCCCCACAGAAGCAAAAACATTTGTGGTGGCAGAAATCGTTGTATTTGGCAATACCACAATATCCTCAGTCTGAAAGCACACTTTCCCATGATGCGGCAGAATGTTTTCTTGGGTGTACATTTTGTGTATTGAATAACTCACTAGTTCTGCTCCTTTATAAAGCTATCATTTTTGTTTTTATTTTGGACAAACACATTTTAAACCCATGATATTAGAAAACTAACACAAACTGTCCTAACTTTTAAACAAAACCACATTGTGTTAGTGATACCTGATGTTGTTTGGACATGAGATTATTTTTCTGGCTCAAGCGCATATTCGTATCCTTCTATGGTGAGAGCAATGCAAACTCCGTGGCTGTGCCAATCTACTGACACAACCAGGACACTTCTTTTAACTGCAAATATATCAGGGTGTTTTTCTTTTTTAGCCCATACCTTACATGGCTGGTGTTACCTTGCCCATCACCAAAATTATTAGATTTCTGGTGTTGTTTTTCTGCCACAGGTGCTTTTTGATTACAGAAATAAAACTGTAAATGGTAACTGAAAAGAGGATACTCTGTGCTACTCTAGAGGAGCCATTTTCCTCTGCATTCTGCAATCCCCCCAAATAAGAACAGCACCACCACCAACAACAGAAAACTGGAGTGCTGTATTTACCTCTTAACATATTAGAGGGTTAAAAGCGAAAATCTTAAATATACTTTGCAAATCACTGAGACTAACTTCTGAAAAAACTTATTTATGATTGGGTTTAAAAGTGCTACCATCAATAAAGCAATGATATATGCAGGGCTGCATGCATATTTATCACATACCATATCAAGATTTTGCTGTGGTACAAAATTTGCGTCCATTCTCTGCCCTGTGCATAATTTTATAAAACTATAAAATAATGACACATTGTGATTTGTTTTGGATAGAATTATTCACAGTAATCAGAAACATTTCTAGGAAATGGGTGGGAACTTAGGCAGATTGTGAGAGGGAGGACAGGAAGGGTTGCCTCAATGCTTAGTTCTTGTGGCCCAGGGAAATGCTGATTGCCACTTTAGGGTCAGGAAGCAATCCTGGGCGTTTCTTTTGTCATCTTCTGGGCGTGGAACAGGGGTCACTGGGGTTGTGGAGGGGGAGGTATTTGTGAATTCCCTGCATTGTGCAGGGGGTTGGAGTAGATGACCCTGGAGATCCCTTCCAACTCTGATTCTATGATTCTATTATTCTAATTCAGGCTACAACAATGGTCAAAATTATCACAGACCTCTGTGTAACATATAATTTTGCTGGTTGGTAAAGGGTTACATGTTTTATGCAGGCGTTATCTGTGTTGATCTGCGCATAGGTGAATTTGAGGAAGGTTTCTGCCGTGGGAAACAACCATAAAGTAGCGGTATAGTTAGTCAATGATCACAATCAGGGGAAAAGGCTTACAGTGGAGAGGGTGTGATTTCAAGACTGGCTTAAATACTGGACTCAAATTGTAGTAGCTGCTTCCCCCAGAAAGTAAATATAGTGTGTATCAGTTCAGGGCTGCATTTTATAATACATGCAATCCTGCAGTGACTACTGCCAGATCTGCAGATGGTGGCACTTGAGAGGAGATGAGCATGCCTAGGGCCATCACTTTCTCCCAGATATATGCAACTGCTGCTCAGGGCCTGTGGTGGCTCAAGTGGTTAAGACGCTGAACTGCAGACTGGAAGGTCGGTAGTTTAGCAGTTCGAGACCCAAGTGCCGCATGACAGAGTGAGCGCCTGTCTCTGCAGGAGCTGGGACCAGAGACTCTCTGGTCCCAGCTCCTGCCAACCTAGCAGTTTGAAAGCAAGACATTGCAAGTAGAGTGCAAGAAATTGCAAGTCAGTGGGAAGGTAACAGCATGCCATGTGCCTTGGCGTCTAGTCATGCCGGCCACATGACCATGGAAATGTCTCTGGACAGCGCTGGCTCTTCAGCTTGGAAATGGAGATGAGCACCGCATCCCTAGAGTCAGATTTGACTGGCTTTTGAGCAAGGGAAACCTTTGCCTTTACCTGCTCAGGCCCAAGGTGGGATATAGAATGCTTCCGTACCCTGCCTTATAGCCAAGGATGGCAAGAGGGGAGGAGGCACCCATCAGCTGTGATTTTCTCCAATTGAAAAATAAAGTAGAAGAACTCTATTCAAATGAGTAAGAATTTGGTTTCCCACTTAGTTTGGTGGCATCTTGCTCAAGTAAGAAAAAGTGATTTATTTTTAAAATGCGTCTCTGAGGACTACTTAACACAGATTGCCTGTCTCTTCTTTAATATGCTTTAGTTCCATGTCAGAAGGGGCTTTTCCCTGTTCTCATTCTACTCATTTGTCATTCTACTCATTTGTGTGTTCCTGTTGCTTCGTCGTCGTCCCCCTTTCCATACATGTCTGGCTCCCTCTAGTGGTCAATGTGATATTACATTGATTACATTGTTTATGTCCAGCATATCTCCCTACAGATTTAAACTGCAGGTTTTTATGCCAGACATCGGGCTCTTCTGCATTCTCATTTTCCTCATCTGCAAAATTCTGTTTCTTGGGGAGGGGGGGAGTTTCTGTGCCACATGTGTTTTGCTCCCTCTAGTGGTTCATCTGATATTACATTGGTTTATATCTCCCTGCAGATTTGACCTGCAGGTTTTAATGCCAGACATTAACCAATGTAATATCAGATGAACCACTGGAGAGATCAATCACTAGAGAAATCGACTTCTGGTGGATGGATTGGCGATGGCGGTCTGTGGCCCCCACCACATCCTTCCTGGCCAACTGCCAACTGTTTTCTAGGAAGTGAGTGGGGCCAGGGGGACTTTTGCCCAGCAAGGCATCTGATCAGTCACTGGAGATCTGATTGGCTGTGCAGATATTTTAATATATTACTTCAGCAGCAGCTGCCACCACAGCACAAAGATTTGGACGACTGAAGGCAAGTCGTGTGTATGCAAGAAAATATTTTTTAAAAATATTTTCATTTATAAAGGCATTATGTTAAGTAGAGCTTCTGCCTAAAATGTTGAAGAGTTAACTATTAGAGTTATGCATAACCTCACTCCTTGACATTTTGTGGTTGTTACTGCCTCCTGTGACAGTCATTTTGTGGTTGGCTGGGTGTTGTCAGCATGCTGATGACTCCCAACTCTAAAACCATGAAATATGTTCCTAAAGGCTTTACATAGAGATTAAATAGTATAGGGGATAAGACTGAGCCTTGTGGAAGACCACAGGGCAAGTCCCACACTGATATCTGGTCTCCAACAGCTACCCTCTTAGTCCTATGCACATTTAAACCAATCCTTGATACCCACTTCCTAGCATCTCAAAAGGTCCACAGTATAAAAGACTGCTGACCAGCAAGGAAGTGCAGCTCTTGTCTACATTCAAACAATGATAATCTGATAAAGCCATCAGTGTCTCTGTCCCAGACTGAGCGTGGTCTTGAGCAGAAGAGTAATTCAGAAAGGCCTGGAGTTGTTCCACAACAACTTTTTCAATCACCTTGTCCAAAAATGCCCAAAAATGGCAAATTTGAGAGTGGTTGATAATTGCTCACGTTATTCTTCTTAAGTGATGGTTTCTTAAGTTATGATCAGATAACTGCCTCTTCTATGTGTCTGAGGAAAATGATTCATTGTTGGTGGACTTCAGGGATTCATTAATGTTCTTACAAAATTTCAGTAACCAGGATGGACAGGGATCAAGAATACAAGTGGTGGCCTTCACAGATCCCAAGACAGGGTTGCCAGTGGGGCAGGGGGTCCCCTGGTTTGGAGCCCCTCCCTCTGCTTCAGGGCTGTCAGAAAACAAGGAGGGGGAATGGCTGCTCCATTATACCCTATGGAGAGTGGCCCCCATATGGTGTAATGGAGAATCAATCCATGGGTATATGGGGCTCTGGGGGGCTGTTTTTGAGGTAGAGACACCAAATTTTCAGCATAGCTGGTGATGCCTCTCCTGAAAAAAACGCCCCAAGTTTCAAAAAGACTGGACCAGGGGGGGTCCAATTCTATGAGCCCCAATAGAAGGTGCCCCCATCCTCCATTATTTCCAGTGGAGGGAAAGCATTTAAAAGGAGTGCGGTCCCTTTAAATGTGATGGCCAGAACTCCCTTCAGAGTTCAATTGCCTAGTGACATCACAAAAGTGATTTCACATCCTTGCTCATGGCTCCACCCCCAAAGTCTCCTGGCTCTACCCCCAAAGTCCCCAGATATTTCCTTAGTCAGACCTGGCAACCCTATCTCAAGATCCTACTAACACCCATTATCGTAACTAGGTCAAAATGACCCATCAACAGATGAAACAGTGTACTGTACGCTTCCAATGCCTGAACTATGTTACAATCAGCATTCAAATCAGAACATATTGGAGAGAATTTTTCAGCAAAAAAAAAAAGTGCCACAACTAACCAGAAGTTCTTGGGAATTTAAAGACCTAGGAGTCAGCAATAACTGAAATACCTTAACCTGAGCCAGCGGTGAACAGGCTGATGGAATGGTAACAGAGAACGGTGACTTTTTTCACTGCTGTCATAGCCTCCTCACAGGCCTTCCAATAAGTTATAGCACACACTGTCAGATTCACAGGGACTTCTGCTTGCTGGATCCAAGGGTCTGAAGGTTTCTACCAACACCGCTCTAGACATATTCTAACCCTCTTCACGTTACCAAGCTCCATTCTAAACCAAGGTGCTGGATACCACCTTGAATGAGGGCGAGGTCACTGGCGGCAACCCTGTCAGTAGTTTCCAAGACCTTTGCATTCTAGGCTCTCGCCATGTTCTTGACAGAGCTGTTGTTTGGGACGTCCTGGGGCCCAGCCCTCCCAACTTCCTGCCAAGGCCCCATGACTCTCTGGGCAGCTGGGAGGAGACCCACTGCCACCCCTTCCCCAAGTGCACATATTCCAGCCAGAGCAGCCAGGTGGTGGCACTGCCATGGTGGGCCAGAGGGAGGGGCAGACCAACAGAAGGAAGAGGAAGCCACTGAGCCCAGCCCCCTTCCCCCCCCCCCCGATGAGAAGTGCTTTCGAGGCAGGAAGGCCACTTGGGAAGAGCAGAAGTGCATCTTCCCCTCCCCCTCCTCTCTGCTCTGCCTGTCACTCTCCATCTTCCCTTTGGCTGCCCAAGGTGGTAGCATTCAGCGAGGCTGTTTTGGAAGTCCTGTCAGGGCTTTCCCCCCCATCTTCCATTCTTTTTCGCTGCCTGGCACCCTCTTCTCCCGCCCAGCTCCCCACTCGCTTGCTGACCCCCCCCAGCCCAGCCCAGCCCAGACCAGACCAGACCAGACCAGCCCAGACCAGCCCCCTTATGAAAGTCTCTTGTGTGCCTCCCTGGCTCTTCTCTTGGCCGCCTGGCTGTCTCTCTGCCTCCTGTCCCTGCCTCCTGCCTTCGCCGCCACTCTCACTCCTTCCCGTCCATTTCTTCCTCGTGAGGGGTCCCCTCTCCAGCATTTTGGTCACCCACCCTGGCCGGCATTCACTGATCTGGATGGGCCACTGGACTCCCACCTGGGGTTGCTGCTTGCAGATGACCGGGGGTGGGGTGGGGGGTTGGAATCCCTTCCAGCTCCTGTGAATCTGCAGCAGCCCCCCCACACACAAAAAGGAGGAGGCTGCTGCAGATTCACAGGCGCTGGAAGGCACCCCAAATTTAAAGGCACCCCAAATATAAAAATCCCAGCTATGGGCCTGCCCCGCAGAGTAAGTCACTGCTGAATCCACCTGTGCCTTGTGGAGGCAGGGATAAGGTCATGGCACCAGCTGAATTCTCAGCCCCTAAACCAGGCTTCCCCACAAAGACTGAGTGCAAAAATGAAGTCCAGGTGTGTCCTTTTTCATTTGTTGAGCCTGCCACAAACTGAATGAGCCCCATAGTGGCCAAGAAGGCCACAGAATCTGTACCGATCCAGGTAAGGTGCCATGAATGTTCCCCAAGAATACTCGGGCTGGATGTCTCCAGCACCATACCTGAGACCACCTCCACCAGCTCAAACAGGGTACCCACTGGAGAACTAAGCAGCTGGTAAATAATTAAATACCCAATGTTGCCCTCGATCCTAGTATAAGGAACAGTCAATGAACGCTGGAAATACTATGCACTGCTGATCTGCAAAAGCAGAAAGACCGATAGAGAATGATAGCTACCCCCTCCTGTTAGCCAAATTGCCTTATGTATAAGCATTGGGGGAATTATGATTTAAAAGAACAATTGGCAAAATAGCGCAGGACAATAACCCTTGTGTACCAGAGTCAGAATTCCCAGAGCCCGTGAATAGATGAAGAGACCAGGTTGCTGGAATAATGGGTCTTTCACTTAAGATTTTCAAGCATACAATAATAATTGCAAACACACAATACAGAGCTAGGGAATTAGAGTTGAAAAGATAGCAACATTTGCATTAGCAGGAAGTATCGTTGGGGGGGGGGGTAATATGTTACCTGTCTGACATGATGAACAATCTTGCAGCGAAAAAGGAACTGAGGGGGAGTGCATCATGAGCCGACCAGCAACACACGGGGAGTGATTCCAAACTGATCAGGAATGGAACCAAGAAGGGGGCGAAGAGAAGAGAGCGAGCTCAGGGGGAACTCACCTTAAATAGCCAAATTGTGACCTGAGACCATAGCCATGTGGTCACGGGTTCCCAGGAAATGTTGACAAAAAGAATAATATTCCAGGGTTGGGCAATTTAGGGTTGATGGGCTTAAGGGGGGGGGAGTGACACCCCTTGGGGTAGGTGAGAGGCAGGGGAAAGAGGATCCAATCACTTCCACGATTTGGTGCTTCACATTAGCGATCCAGTGCTTGTCAGAGATGTTATCTGGATCAGTAGCAGGAAGGCTTAATTGCATCTTTTGTCTTTAGCTGGGCGACAGTCTTTGTTTGCAAATGACTCAGGAGGGGGAAGGGATGTTCTGTGTGATGGAGAAGAGATTCCTTCATGGCTGCTTGCAGGAACTTCGGTCCTCTGTCAGAACATGTCACTTCTCTTTGGTCTGCTATGGCCTCTGTGTTTATGGAGGCCAGGGCAGTTGGTCTGCATCATAGTCCTTGTGTGGATGTAGAGGTGCAGGGGCAGAGATCTTCTGTAGTCCTGGGGTCCACATCTGACTTGGCATACTTCTCAGGGCACAAGGCTTCCCTTGGCCACAGTGTACAATCCATCATAGTCCAGCACTGGGCGCTTCACTTAGGACCACATCTCTGTCCATTGGCCTGCCACACACCCTTCACAGTTCAGCAAGGCAGTGATATTAAAAAAAGACTTTAATAGTGCCATCTGACATGGCTTCATGGCAACACTCCCACCCACCCCTGACCTCTGGTTCTGGAATGATGGACTGCAGGGGTCATTTCCTGCAGGAGCGCACAGGAGCGGAGCTCCGACAGTAAAGAGCCCAGGGGGCAGGCACATGCAACAAGCCCCACCCCCTGCTCTCAGCAGCCCTCAGTCAGAGCAAGAAGCAGCCAGGTAAGTTGCAGAGCCCCTCCCCCCCGGCCCCCCCGCCCAAAACAGTCCAGTGGCACCTTTAAGACCAGGTTTTATTCAGTTACAAGCTCTCCCTCCTCTGCGAGGACAGATCTGCATGTCCCCCCCCAATAGCTAGCAATCCAAAACAGTCCAGTGGAGCCTGAGCGGTGGGTGTTGCCTTCTGACACACTTCTAGTGATGTCAGGGGGTGTGGCATATGCAAATGAGTTATGCTAATGAGCTCCTGCACCTCTTTTTCTACGAAATGACCCCTGATGGACTGTATAACCAGCAGGGCTAACTGAGACAAAAGCACCCCATCTTTTCTTCCAACCAGGTCTTGGCCATGCAATCCAGATCAATTCTTAGAGAAGCTAAGAATCCAGACAGGAGTGCAGTTTTATTCTTCTCTAAAACTGTATTGCACAATTTAAATTAAGAAGTACAACATCTCTAGGGATGGGATGGTTAGATGAAAAAATGAGCATGGATATGTCTCACTAGATGTCTTTGAATATTCTTTTGTCCTCTGCCATCATATCTTCCAGCTGTATTGATACAGCTTCTTCCAACGTCCTACCCCAGGATAAAGGCCAGATTCCTTTATTTCATGTTCTGGTGCAATTCAGGGATATTTTGGAAGTGACAAGATGAATGAGGCAAGCATTGCTGCAGTCTGTCCAGAGACACAAATGCAATTGATCCTGGAAGACAACCGGGGTTCCATCTATTCTCTATCAGAATCAGTTTTCTCAGTGGTGGGTAAACTAGTTTCCTAAAACATTGTTGTTGTTTTGTAATAGAAGCAGGCATAATTATTCCTCACAACATTTTGATACAATGTGCTACACTTTTAGCACTGACTTGATAAGACTTTGTTTCTATTGTTCATGACCGAATGGGGTTGAGGCACACGCTGCACAATATTTTTATACAGGGCTTTATTCTCACACAGTTTTTTTTGTTAACTTTGATTTATATTTCCCCAGTGACTCCTGCATAACTATATATTTATTTCCATATATATGAGGTTTGATTGCCAGAGTTGGGGACATTCTGTGATATAAGAAAGGGCATTGACAAAACAATTTAAAAATCCCTTTGAAAACCTCTGGTCCCTTTTGCTTTCTCTCCAGTATGAACCCTTACGCTGCCCTAGTGGACTGCCTGAGAGCTACCTGGCTAACAGGAAAGACGCGCCCTATGGAATATCGGAGGACCCAGCTGGAGGCACTGGGCCGCTTTCTGGAGGAGAACGAAACAGAAATCTTGCATGCCTTGTGTGTAGACATGCGCAGGGTGAGTATGGAGAAGTAGCCAGAAGTTTTGGCTGAATTTCAGTTCTCTTCCATGTCAGAGGAACCAGAGACACGTGATCTATGGTACATTTTTTTGGGCCAGAGTTGAAAACACCAATGCCTTTTTGCTGTCTCCACAGCCTCCTTTTGAAGGACAAATCGCCGATATTTCCTTGGTTAAGAATGAAGTGAACCATGCACTCAACAACCTGAGCTGTTGGATGAAGGATGAGAGTGTGGACAAGAATTTGGTAAGAATGTCAAGCTGAGAGGGGAGGAAATGTGAACTTGCATGAGAAAGGAAAGTGGTTCTACACCTGATTGGTCAGAGTCCTCCTTCAAAACTGCTTTATGGATGATCCTTTTGAGAGGCAGAAACCTCTGAACTGATCACTTCTGCAACCTAAACCAGGAGTCCAGTTGCACCTAAAAGACTAACACAATATATTCCACAATATATTATGTTGTCATAGTGCCTCTAGGCTCCTGTTCTGCTGTTTTGCTGCTACAGACTACCATGGCTACCCATCTGGAATTCTTCTCACGGAAGGTTCTTCAGCCGAGGTTAACCTGCCTCAGCCACAATTTTATGGTGCATTTTCACACCTTCAATGGAAAAAACTTTTTTTATTTTCATGAGTCTACTATATCAATTAAAGTATTAAAATGATGCCTTTTCTGCTTCAGCAGCATTACAGATGTGCACAAATATCACATGATAAAATCAGAATTGCTTTTAGTGTCATGCATTAAAACATCCTTAAACATTTATTTATTTATACGTTTGATTTCTAAACCGCCCTCCCCCATACTTAGGGCTCAGGCAGTGTACAACATTCGAAAAGATACAATTATAAACAGATTTAAATAAGTTAAAAACAGTAAAACAATAAATACAATATTTATTGTTGTAAATACAATAACCATTCCAGATGGCATCTAAAATCAGTTTTATCCTTACCCCAAGGGGGAGTGAAAGGAAGGAAGGCCAGGCTAAATGGCTTCTAAGGGAAGTCATGTGCTACTTTTCCAAGTCCTAATGAGACAATGGAAGTTGTTCTTACTTCAGGGGCTGCTTCCACAGGGCAACGATTCTCCACACAGCTCTGTATGCAGCTGTTGTGAATGCAGAGGCATTTGTAGCCTCATCCGAGCATCCACATGGGAGCTTTGCTTGCCCCAGCCCCAGCGGTGACCATTCCCTACTCCTACTGGGTTGTTGTTGTTGTTGTTTAAAAGGTAGTTGAGATATTGTTTTAGTTCATTTTGTCAATAGTCACCTTTTAAGCTACAGCAATATATCAATTATTAGCACCTGATACATCACTGTAACTTAAAATCATCAAATGACAAAGAGTAGTTTGTCTGGCTTAGTGCTGTAACCACATAGCAATTACTGATTTTTTGAAGGAAAAAAAGCCCAAAGTGTAAAGGTGTCAGACCCTTGCACAAATTCACTCTCGACAACACTCCAGTGATTTGTTTATTGAGATATGTAGTTGTGTCAAGTAGAGACCATGTGTGTCAGAACTGACTAAGTTGGAGCCAGTCCTGGTATTGTATGTAATTCAAATACCCCCCCCCCATTGACCTGTCCAATCAATCCATCCACACATCCCACCTAAAGTAATGTGCACTCCCCCCCCCGCAAACCTAACAGTTTCATTATCTACAACGGCCAGCTAGCAGAGACAGGTGTTCAAGGACATTCACATTCTTCCCATATGGGAGGCCCCTTAAGAAAACAGTTATGCAGTCCTAAGCAAAGCAGGTTCCCACACAAACATCCACATGCTCACCAACAGCCCAGATACAGAATGGTTACAGGAAAATGAAGACAGTACACAAGATCCCATGGCAAATGAGGCCCTGAGTTTGACATTCTGCCCCCCCCCCAAAGATATCTCACCCTCCAGGCTTCTGAGGGAAGCATTTATGGAAGGTGTGAACCAGCTTTGGGGTTCTAACATGATCACTTCTCACCCATTCATTACGACTCGAGTCAAACTCTTGCCACTTAATAAGATAGTATAGGTGATTTTAGAGTTTAAGACTTCTTTCATCTCTTGGTGGAGTTCCCCTTCCACATTCAGGGGAGGGGGAACTACTGGACAAGGTCTCCACATCAGTGGGCCTGGATCCTTCTTCAGTAGACTAAAATGGAAAACAGTGTGGATGTGTCATAAGTTCTTTGGCAAGTCCAGTTCAACAGCCACCTTGTTAATGACTCTCACAACCTTAAATGGCCCCACATATTTCCACCCCAACTTTTCCCCTGGCTGCAACCCCCTAAGGTTCTTTGTGGAGATGTACACAGAATCTCCTGGGTGAAAGTCCCACTCTGGGGCCCGCCCCTTGTCTGCTTGGGCCTTATAGTTCTCCTCTGCTTTGGCCAGAGCTTGTTGGATTAGAGTCTACTGCTGAGTCAAGTCAGCCCACCAAGTATGTAAGTCAATTGGCCCGGGGGCTTCTGAGGCCACAGTGGGTAAGGGACCCCCCTCATAGCCATGAACCATCTTGAAATGGGTGACCCCTGTGGAGCTATGCACAGAGTTGGTACAGCTATATTCCACATAGGGGAGCAGATCCACCCAGTTATCTCGTTGGTAATTGATGAAGCATCTCAGAAACTGTTCCAGAACTTGGTTAGTTCTCTCCATTTGACCATCAGTCTCTAGGTGGTAGGCACTGCTGAGCCCTTGCTCCACCCCTAGTAACTTTAACAGTTATTTCCAAAACCCCACCAAAAATTGGGGGGCCCTCTCAGATATGATCTTCTGGGTTATCAAATGTAGCTGAAGGCAGCTGTTTGCAAGAGATGAAATGTGCCTGTTTTTAAAAAAGGTCCACTACCACCCAAATTACAGTCCTTTCTTTGCTGGGTGGCAGGTCTGTTATAAAATCCATGGAAATAACAGCCCATGGCCTCTTGGGGGTTTCTAGAGGCTGCAACAGTCCTGGAGTTTCCCCAGCCCTCTGCTTCCCCATTAAACAGACTTGGCATGAAGCCATGTATTGAGAGATATCAGTCTGCATATGTGGCCACCCAAATTGTCTCTGTATGAGGTGCAGGGTTTTCAGGTACCCAAAATGCCCAGCCAGTTTGCTGTCATGCCCCATTTGCAAGATATCCCTGCACAAAGCCCTTGGCACAAAGAGTTTCTGTTGGCAGTACTAACATCCATGTCCCCGCGGGTGAGGTTGCCCTCTTTCTCCACCTCCTCCTTATCACTGTCACCAAAAGCGGCTTTGAACCGTTCCACCCAGGGTTAGGTACTAAGAGGCCACTCTGCTTTGGCTTGATTGCACATGAGCACTGCCCCCCCCCCAACTGGGTAGGGGTGAACATTGAGTAAATCACTTCCTCTCATTGGCTGGCAGGCTGGGGCAGTTGCGAGAGTGTCAGCAAGAAAATTTGATTTCCCTGGGTGTTGCTTAAGGGTAAATCGGAACTCGGAGAAGAATTCTGCCCACCGCAACTGTCAGGGTCATCCCATCTCAGCCGTGAGGACTGACGGTCCTTCAGTCAAGCTTCTTTCTCTCGGGTTTTCCCCTTCCCTGTCGAGAAATGGGGGGGGGGGTTTGACCGGCGTCCCTGTCTCCTTGCCTCCTTCACTCATCATGGTGGTAGTGCAATGGTTTGAGGTAGTGAGAAATTCTGATACTTTGTCAGACCCTTGCACAAACTCACTCTCGACAACACTATTCTTCCAGCGATTTGTTTGTTGAGATATGCAGTTGTGTCAAGTAGAGACCATCTGTGTCAGAACTAAGTTGGCGTCAGTCCTGGTATTATACATAATTCAAACAAACCCCACCCCAATGACCCATCCAATCAACCCATCCACACATCCCGCCTAAACTAGCATGCACTCCTTTCCCCACCACCACCTGTGAACCTAATAGTTTCATTATCTACAACAGTCAGCTAGCAGAGACAGGCATTCCAGGACATTTGCATTCTTCCCATATGGAAGGCCCCTTAAGAAAACAGTTACGCAATGCTAAGCGAAGCAGGTTCCCACACACACACATCCACACACTCACCAACTGCCCCGCCCCTCATAGCCCAGGTACAGAAAATGAAGACAGCACACAAGATCCTATGGCAAACGAGGCCCTGAGTTTAACAAAAGGGAAATGGTAACAATGGAGGCTGGAGCAAAGAAAATGGCAGTGAGGTGGGTGGGACTTGCCCCCACCCGCACAGCATGAAAACCTGCTTTGAGTTCAGTGAGAGATTGTAGCAAAGTATGTTTGGGAAAGAACAGAAAGAACCTGGAAGGTGGATGAAAAGAGGGTGACATTGTATAGAAGCTCCAAAAATTCCCACTCCAGTTTGGTTGCCAACTTGACAAAAAACTCTGGGTGGAACCAACCCAGATCTCCCTGATATACATGCATGTAGCTTTTTTGGACTTAAACAAGGCAATAAATTATTTCAGAAAATAATAGCAAAAAATATAAACCTCATCAAGTGAAATAGTCATGCTTTATACCATCTGATCCGGCTTTGGCTGGGAGGGCGGGGTAAAAGTTCGAATAAATAAATAAATAAATAACCTTGCAGAACCTTTTGTAAAATAGAGAAAAAGGAGAAATTACCAATCATTCTAATGAGCAATGCCAGAGGTTAATCTGGAAAGATGAGGCTGCACAGTAAGGCCAAGCAAAACTTTCATGCTGTCAGCTTAACAATTTTTCATTCTGTTCCATTAGCTTCATGGACTTTTCTTGTCTTCACCTCCTTGCAGGCCACCAAGCTTGACTGTGCCTTTGTTCGCAAGGACCCCTATGGCGTGGTGCTCATCATTTCACCCTTCAACTATCCTTTTCAACTCACCGTGGTCCCTATGGTGGGGGCCATTGCAGCTGGTGAGTGAGAAGCTCTCTGAAGGCCACCCAGACTCTTTCTTCAGCGGGTCTGTTTCCTGTTCAGTGGGGACTCTTGCTTGCTGGCTGGATCCAAGTGTGCGTTGATCTTATTTACCTTACTACCACAGCCATGTGCTCTTTTCCCCACCAGGGAACTGCGTGATTGTGAAACCTTCAGAGCAAAGCAGCTGCAGTGAAAAGCTCCTGGCTGAAGTACTGCCTACCTACCTTGACCCAGTGAGTTTCTTAGACCCAACTCTCCTTTATTTCCTCATTGTAAAGTACTGGGTCCAGACACATTGTTAGTGAATCAGCTCATAGTTTATTAAAAGCAGGAGAAAACTGAGATGAGAAAGCAGGACCCAGGGCCTGCTTAAATGCCAGTTCCATGCCACACCCAACACATACACCTACACCCGTGATTGTTTTATTTACAGTGCACCCACACCCATAGGTTCCTTCTAGGATCTGGCGTGACCGATTGGCCCATTCTTGGATCCTCTCTCGCTATTGTGTCTGGTCGTGAAGCTCTGCTAGTTCGCATGACCACGTGCGAACCTGACCGTGTGCGTGGTCTTAGTACACAACACCCCTCCCCCCATGTGCGAACCTGACCACATGTGTGGTCTTAGTTAGTACACAACACCCATGAAAACTTACTTCTTGTTCATGTATATTACCTCTTCCTGCTCTTGAAAAATCCCAGGTGCCCCAGTTCTCTGGTGTGAAGCTAGAGGAAAAGTATATAGTATTCAGCAGTGATCCCATCTCTCTAGAGCAGTGATGGCAAACCTTTTAGAGACCGAGTGCCCAAACTGCAACCCAAAACCCACTTATTTATCGCAAAGTGCCAGCACGGCAATTTAACCTGAATACTGAGGTTTTACTTTAGAAAAAACAACTCCTACATTAACTTAAGATGATCCAAACAAAGTAAGGAAAACAATCCCAAATGCTTTCATTTACTTAAAATTATTTGGCAGAGAATTCGACACTTTAATGATGGTCTGGGCCTGCCTAGGGCGATGGCACGCGTGCCCAAAGAGAGGGCTCTGAGTGCCACCTCTGGCACCTATGCCATAGGTTCGCCACCACTGCTCTACAGGGTGCTAGTGGGGGAGACTGCTGCACAGTTTGCAAAGGATACATATGTGGCTTCAGCAACATACAGTGGGCATGGAGACAATATCAGTTATTGTACATTCATTATAGACATTAACTGCTGTTTTGCATCATTATGGGAGGTATGGAATAAATGTAGAAGCAAGGGCTAGTGACTACTCAAATTTAACTGGAGTAAAAAAGTGTGTTCTTATTTATGTAATGCCAGGACATGTGCACATGCATCTGAGGAGAAGAGTTCTCTGTAGGATGATGCCCTTTACTTTTCCCTTTAGGTAAAGCCACTGCATTCTATTTTCTGTTAAAATCCTGAAGTGGTTTAGGGGACAAATGAAACCTTACAACCAAACTCATGTAAATGACCCCAATACCATTTTAAAAAAAGAAAACCTGATTTGGGCGGAAGAAAGCTAGAGTAGAAACACTGCTCAATCTTTTGCATGCCTGTCATTTTTCTGTTCAGAATTGCTTCCCAACAGTTTTTTTCTATGTAGGATGCGAAAACAGGAACAAAGAAAAGATTGTTGTGGAAAGGGTGTGTCCCCCCCCGCACCCAATTCTTCCAGCTTCCCTGTTCTAAGCATTGGTTCACTTTAAACTACAGTGATGGGGCTCAGTGATGTCACGTGTATTTGTGCGTAAGCCATACTGAGCCCCTAAACAGGCAAGAGAGACGTGTGTCTGGTGGTTGGGAATGGCCAGTTGTTAAGACCTGGTTGTTGAAGACTCTTACTTCACAGGATACCTTTGCTGTGGTGACAGGTGGCCCTGAACAAACTACCAAATTACTGGAGAACAAGTTTGATTACATCATGTTTACAGGTGAGTTCTCCTTTTTCATTTCCAGGGTAGTAATAATTCATAGAGTAATTATTTTAAAAAATTAAAGTGGTTATCCAAGCCATTCAGTTTATGCTGTGGGATTTGAATCCAATTTCTATTAGAGCACACCAGCTCTCAATCAGTAAAGCCTTGTATTTTTTGTTTGCAAAGCAGCACCATCCTGCCTACTCACAGCCCAGCTGAACTCTCATAGGTAGCCCCTCTCCTGGCATTTTGCTTTGCTGACCTCTGCCGTAGCCCTGTGAATAAATCACTCAGTTGTCTTATACCCAGAATTAAACTTTGTTTGTCTTAAAGGTGCCGCTGGAATCAAGCTTGGTTCTCACATCTCTTTGTTAGTTCTTTTATTTGTACGTTAATTTGCTGCTATTCACAGGTCTTACCAATTGCTTTAATCCAAACTTAGCTATACTTATTGCTCAGTTATTTATGCATCTTGACTCTAACTAACCCCCCCCCCTTACATGCAAGGCTTGAGGAAGTCTGTTTCAATGTATCTGAAGAAGTGTGCACGCACACAAAAGCTTATACCCAGAATTAAACTTTGTTGGTCTTAAAGGTGCCACTGTTCTCAAACTTTGTTCTATTACTTCTTTCTGCAATTCTCTTTTAAGCACTATATTTGGTTTCCCTTGGTGCTGAATTCGGGGTGGGTGTATTTGGCATTGCTCACATCACAAAGTGCCCTAAATGTGGCCATTTTTCTGCAGGGAGTCCCCCTATTGGAAAGATTGTCATGACTGCAGCAGCCAAACACCTGACGCCGTTGACTCTGGAGCTGGGAGGCCAAAATCCCTGCTATGTGGATTGCTGCTGCAATTTCCAGAATGCAGCCAACAGAATAGTATGGGCAAAGTTCTTCAATACTGGACAGACCTGCATTGCACCAGACTATGTGATTTGTACCATTGAAACACAAGAGAGGTTGATGCCATGCCTGCGTCAGGCTATCCGTGAGTTTTATGGCTGCAGCCCTCGAGACTCACCTGACTACGGCCGCATGATCAATGACAAGCATTTCCGGCGCGTCTGTGCACTCCTGGACTGTGGCCGAGTAGCCATTGGTGGAGAAACAGATGAATGTGACCGTTATATTGGTGAGCAACTGGCCTACGTTTTCCAACTCCAACTTTATTTCCTTCCTTCCTTCCATTTATATCCCGCCCTCCCTGCAAAGGAGGCTTAGGGTGGGTTCCAACCTATAGTGATCTGCTAAGTGCAGATTTACATAATAAAAACAGAATAACAAAATACATACAATAAATGCAATAAAATAATTATACCTCAACAGACACATAAGAGCAACTCATAGGGGGAAGGGGGGGGGAGGCCAGATTGAGTTGGATACCCGCGGCCCCAGCTGAAGGCCCGGCAGAAGAGCTCTGTCTTGCCAGCCCTGCGGAACTGTAAAAGCTTTTGCAGGGTTCTGATTTCTGATGGGAGCTCATTCCACCAGGCAGGAGCCGGGGCTGAAGAAGCCCTGGCCGTAGTTGAGGCAAGTCGGATATCCCCAGGGCCTGGGACCATCAGCAGATGTTGGTTTGAAGAGCGCAGTGCCCTCCAAGGCTCATACGAGGAGAGGCGGTCTCATAGGTATTCTGGCCCCTGCCGTATAGGGCTTTAAAGGTAAGAACCAGCACCTTGAAATGGATCCAGAACTCAATAGGCAGCCAGTGCAGCACTGGGCGGATGTGGGCCTGCACAGGCAGCGACATCAGTACCCGTGCTGCTGCGTTCTGCACCAGCTGCATTTTCCAGAGCAGAGTCAAGGGCAGCCCCACGTAGAGAGAATTACAATAATCTAGCATGGAAGTGACCACTGCATAGATCACTGCAGCCAGGACACGAGGGGCAAGATATGGGGCCAACTGCCTGACCCGCCTCAGATGGTAAAAGGCTGTTCTGGCTGTGGCAGTGACCTGGGCCTCCATGGACAATGAGGCATCCAGGAACACTCCCAGTCTCTTTAGGTGCCAGCACCAACTGGGCCCCGCCAAAGACTGGGAGCCTGATCCCCAACCCCAGCCCAGGTGCAGGACCTCCGTCTTTGATGGATCCAACTTCAGTCCGCTCTGCTGTAACCAACCAGCCATGGCCTGTAACACCCCGCCCAGATGTTTGGGGGCAGAGTCCAGGCAGCCACCCGTTAGCAGGTAGAGCTGGGTGTCATCAGTGCACGGGTGACAGCCCAGCTCATATCTCCCCCACATTGGGGAATTCCTGGAGATTTTTTTTTGGGGGGATGCCTATGGAGGGCAGAGTTTGGAGAGGATAGGAAGTTGAATGAGTATGTGATGCCATAGAATCCACGCTCCAAAACTCTCATTTCCTCCCAGGGAACTGATCTCTGCCATCTGGAGATCAGTTGAAATTCTGGGAGCACTCCATCCCTGCATGAAGGCTGGCAACGCTAAAGTGGGCTGATGCTGGGGAGTTGGGGCGGAGACTACAGAGGGAGACCCCCCCCATTCTATGGCCTGCGGAAGTCTTGCTATGAAGTGCTTTTCCATCTGTGAATGAAGATTCCGATAGAGCATGGAGAAGGCCCTGCGCGGTGCGGGTTGGGGTGGGTTGTGGGTTGGAAAAAGCAGTTTCAAGGCTGTTGAGAGGCAGGATATGGCAGCAGTATATGAGCATAACCTGACTTGATGTGCTGTCCTGTCCACAGCTCCCACAGTGCTGGCTGATGTGAAGGAATGGGAGCCAGTCATGCAGCAGGAAGTCTTTGGGCCTATCTTGCCTATTTTCACTGTGAGGGACTTGGATGAAGCCATCCAATATATCAACAGCAAGGAACGCCCGCTGGCTATCTATGCCTTCTCTTGTGACAGCAAGGTATGTTTTGGTCTTACAGCTGACTGTATCCAGGAGGCTGAGAACAGGTAACGATGTTAAATATTGTAAATTTAACCTGCCTCCTTTATTTAATCCTGGCTCCACTCAGATCTTACACTGCTTTCAAAATATGCTCATGCTAGGGTTATGCTGAACCATCACAGGAAGGCAATTCTGGAAGTACAGAACCACTACTGACAATGTTTCTCTGCATGCCATCAGTGTTATCTTACAGCAAAAGGGAAATATAGCAAGATTCACTAGAGAAATGAATATGAAAACAGTGCTATCTAGAGTTAATTTACACTCTGTTGAACATCCTCCAGTTCTCCTTGTTCAAGGGGGATGGACCAGCCCCTGCACTCTATTCAGTGGGTTTACCCAGGCTGACTCCCACAAAAGCACATTGCATCATGCCCTGTTTACCTGACCGTGGTCTGGAAGTTTCCTCCTGTTAGAACCAATGACAACTATGGGGTTTACTCTCCAGTTCCCACTGAAGGCAATGCCCTCAGGGTGATAAGGTTCTTTGACTTGTGTGGCTAGCCAATTGAAGTCACACAGTGAGACAAAATCCAGGCAGCAAAAGGGTAAAAAGGTTTTATTCAAATAAGGGACAACATGAAGCCAAAGGTTTTAGCTCAGATGTCCACTGAGCAACAGTTGTGTTCCAACTTTTATATTCTAGGTTCTCCTCCCAGTTTGACATCATCCATGGCATCATATACACCTGCGTACTTCAATTTTCTTTGTCTCTAACATCCATTAATCTTACTTTTGACAAACAAGATATTTCTGGCTTTCTTTCAACTTTCAACCACAGTTGTCATGTCAAAACCTCCTTATTAAAAGTGAAATATGGTAGTCTCCTGGACAAAGAACCTTCTGCTTGGCTATGTTCCCAGTTCTTCCCATCTCTAAAAATATACTGGCTTAAATTCATATTATAAGCAAGAATTAACCTTCTCTACTATTTTTTCTACTAACACATATAGTGTTTTTCTACTAACACATAAGACATATAAATGCTTGTTTATACTTGTTTATTAAATATTCAAACAAAATACAGTTTAATGAGTGTTCCATTTTAGCAAAATTAAACTCCTTACTTCTAATGGCCACTTGCGGGCACTCTTGTATAGAAAATATAAATTCTGCTACTTCTAATTAAAACCAGCCTGTCAAAAGCTGATGATTTATTTCTCATTAAAATACTTTTGCCTGATAAAGATAGCAATTAAACCTTTAAGACTTGTATCCGAACATCCATTCTGTTGGAAATCTTGACTATTTTCCAATCTTGCGTATAATTGTCCAAAAGATAATCTTTTGCTTGTTAAAATAATGCTTAGCGGTCTTTGCAAAAGCTTCCTATTAGAGAATGAGATAGTTTTGCTTAACAAAGAATTTAGCTAGCTAGCTTTTCTACAAACATTTAGAACTATGAAGATCCATACCTTCTTTAAACAACAGTTATTCTCACCTATAAACAAAATATTAAAAGTTGTAATTTACTTTTGAAAGCAGTTAACAAATAAGGAGGTTTGGCACACTCAAATCTCTATTTTCAGAGAGTTGCAGCTGTATTTTGGCTCAATTCAATAAATCTTTCCAGCCTCGTCTCGACATCTCATTAAAAATAAAGCATCTTCAGCTAATTATTAAATTCCTTCTTCTGGGCTTCTTGCCAGCTCATTAGATGTGAAAGAAATCAGATGTTATACTTTTCTGTTTTCTGCTAACTTTATTTCAGGGAGCTCCCAAATGCCTTTTCTCAAAAATATTAGGATCCAATAATCAATAGACTAGCATACAAACCTCTGAGCTCCCTCTACACCACTGTAAAACCATTCACCAATAATATTCCCAGTTAAAGATCAGAAGTTTGCTGGTCTCCCCCATCCCCAATTGAGTGGGACACACTTTTGGTGCCCATGAAGCAAGAGCGGGATCTTTCATCAGGATGCTAGTTTGGTGTAGTGGTTAAGTACACGGACTCTAATCTGGAAGAACCGGATTTGATTCCCCACTAGGGCTGCCAAGCCGCGGCGGGGGATCCACACGTCTTCACAGGATCCTTGCTGCACCGCGTTGCACCGCTGTTGCCAGGATGTGACGCTACACGTTGCTCTGGCAACGGGACTCCAAACAGCCCCGTTGCCAGAGTGACGCATAGCGTCACATCCTGGCGACGGCGGTGCAACGCATATCGCTGTCCCCCACGGCAGGGATCCTGTGAAGACTTGCAGATCCCCCGCCGCGGCTTGGCAGCCCTATTCCCCACTCCTCCACTTGCAGCTGCTGGATGACCTTGGGCAAGCCATGTCTCTGTCAGAGCTGTTTTCTCAAGGACAGTTCTGGAAAGAGCTCTCTCAGCCTCACAGGATGTCTGTTGTGGGGAGGGGAAGGGAAAGGAGTTTGTAAGCCGCTCTGAGACTCCAAGTGAAGGGCGGGGTATAAATCCAATCTCCTCCTCCTCCTCTCCTCTCTGTGGCCTGGCTTTCCCCGGTCATGCATCACATTAAACCTGCCACTCTACTCTTTTGAGTGCAGCTGAGGAACTGATTACTCATCCCAGTAAATAGACCTGTATTACTTTAGAACCAGAGCAACACCCGTTCCTAAAAGGAGACACCAAACCAGTCTCACCAGCTTCACCATGAGAGAATTTGCCATGAACGACATACATTAGGCTATGAGTGGCTATGCTTTACTGTATGAGAGTGGGAATGCATGTCAGAAGTTTAAGTATGTGCAAAACTAGCCTAATAAAGAAGTCCTAGAAGTAACCCTTTATGCAATTGTTTGAGAAATTATTTGCTTAGCTGCAACTCCCTTCTCTCCTGTTCCACAGCCCCTCAACCTAAAAGCTGCTTGCTGAGTCAAGGAAAATGTGCCGATAATTAGAGTTAGAAAATTAGGAGGATTTGGGACTCTCTTATCTCTTCTTCAGCAGATGGTAATTTCAGGGCATGTGGTCAATTTGAATGAGGTTCATCTGTAGGAGAGTTGTCTGTATCAGGGCTATCACAACAAACTCTTTTCAAATCCAAGGATGGAAGTTATTATTGATGGGCAGAGGCAAGTGGGACCTCTGAACAGCCTAGCACATGTGGCCAAAATATCCTAGAGGTAGTTAACAGCTGCTGGAGACATTCCTGGTGGCATAAACAAGCTTAATTATAATACTGCAAAGGCTTTTTTTGTAACAACCAGCCACCAATTGTTACTTGCATCAGATGTAAATGTTGTACAAACTCTTTGAGCTCCTGGGGGGAAAACCAAGGGTAATATAAAAAGGGTAATATTTGTAATATAAAGAAAATTCAAATTACAAGCAATGTGTTTCAGGTTATTTAGCATTGAGGGCCTAGCTCTGATACTTTTTTAGTGGGTCTACCCTGGGCACCCTCATGGATCACTGCCTTGTTGTGGTGAGGGGGCTTGCGTGGTTCGATGAGGCTGTGGGCTATACCGTGGAGGGCCACCCAAGACGGACAGGCCACAGCAGAGAACTCAGACCAAGCGTGATCCCCTGGAGAAGGAAATGGCAACCCACTCCAGTATCTTTGGCAAGAAATCCCCATGGACAGTATCAAAAGGCTAAAAGATATGATGCCAGAAGATGAGCCCCTCAGGTCGGAAGGTGTCTAATATGTTACTGGGGAAGAGCAGAGGGCAAGTACAAGTAACCCCAGAAAGAGTGAAGCAGCTGGGCCAAAGCCAAAAGGACGCTCAGTTGTGGATGTGTCTGATGGTGAAAGGAAAGTCCGATGCTGCAAAGAACAATATTGCATAGGAACCTGGAATGTAAGATCTATGAATCAAGGTAAGCTTGACGTAGTCAAAAATGAGATGGCAAGACTGAACATCGATATCTTAGGAATCAGTGAACTTAAGTGGACAGGAATGGGCGAATTTAACTCAGAAGACCATTATATCTACTACTGTGGCCAGGAATCCCGTAGAAAAAATGGTGTGGCCTTTATAGTCAACAAGAGAGTGCAAAATGACAGAATGATTTCGGTCCGATTCCAAGGCAAACCATTCAACATCACAGTAATCCATGTCTATGCCCCAACCACTGATGCAGAAGAGGCTGAAGTGGACCGGTTCTATGAAGACCTACAACACCTCCTAGAACTAACACCAAAAAATGATGTCCTCATCATCATAGGGGACTGGAATGCTAAAGTAGGAAGTCAAAAGGTAACCGGAATAACAGACAAGTTTGGCCTTGGAAAGCAAAATGAAGCAGGGCAAAGGTTAACAGAGTTTTGTCAAGAGAACACACTGGTCATAGCGAACACCCTTTTCCAACAACCTAAGAGACGACTCTACACATGGACATCACCAGATGGGCAACACCGAAATCAGATTGACTATATAATTTGCAGTCAAAGATGGAGAAGCTCTATCCAGTCAGTAAAAACAAGACCTGGAGCTGACTGTGGTTCAGATCATGAGCTACTCATTGCAAAATTCAGACTTAAACTGAAGAAAATCGGGAAAACCATGAGGCCATTCAGGTTTGACCTAGATCACATCCCTGATGAATATACAGTAGAGGTGAAGAATAGATTCAAGGGTCTGGATTTGATAGATAGAGTGCCTGAAGAACTATGGACGGAGGTTCGTGACATTGTACAGGAGGCAGCAATCACCACCATCCCAAAGAAAAAGAAATGTAAGAAAGCAAAGTGGCTTTCTGATGAGGCTTTACAAATAGCAGAGGAAAGAAGGAAAGCGAAAGGCAAAGGCGAAAAGGAAAGATTTACCCAACTGAACGCAGATTTCCAGAGAACAGCAAGGAGAGATAAGGAGGCCTTCCTGAATGAACAGTGCAAAGTAATAGAAGAAAACAATAGAATGGGAAGGACTAGAGATCTCTTCAAGAAAGTTGGAGAAATCAAGGGAGCGTTCCATGCAAAGCTGGCCATGATAAAGGACAAAAACGGTAGGGACCTAACAGAAGCAGAAGAGATTAGGAAAAGATGGCA